AAAAGCAATGCCATCACTACTGTATATAAAAAGGACACCTTGCAAGAGAATATTTTTTAGATATTTTATCATCAATGAAAGATGAAAAGCTCTACCTGCATGACATAGCGATCCATAACAGACTTCTGTTGGATTTTATCGATATCACCAACGGCCAAACCGATCTAAGGAATGAATAAACAAAGACATGACTTATTAACAGGGGAAGTTATTTTTCGGATAATTTTCAATCTCTGGAAAAAAAGATTRAAAATATTTAGAAGTGTGGAAATCGAGATTTACATAGTCTATCAAAGTCTATCAGAAGATGTGTTACAGGACATTTACAAGGTCTGTAAAATATAAATATCAGTATGATGTACATAAAATTAAAAAATGCCCCTAAGATCTTTTACTGATCGATGCATATATAATTTATCATTGAAATTTATTGTAAATTCCATGCAAGTTCCATACCAAAACCATGTAAAAATGCCATGTACATGTAAAAGTCGYTTTAACGGCATGCAATACAGAGACATTGCTGAAAAAGCATGAAAAAGAAGTATTCAAAAGTGTCAAGGCAGGCCTAGCGAAAAGCATCGAAAAAACGCCCACTACTACCTCTTGGACAAAGATAGATTAATCCAAACAATTCTWCACACACTTTTAGACTTCGACTAGTGATTTATCAAAGAAACACAGCTAAACGCAAAGGAAAGACACAGCCTCATGTTGTGGAACTGAGTAAAAACAATATTGCACCTGATCTATGTGGGACAAAGTTTGGGGCGACTGCTTTCCTCAGAATTCGCTTACACCTTACCAGCATATTCATTAAAATGATAGGCATCCCAAGACAGAACAAGAGGAACAGAAGATTCATCGGTCCAGGATAATGCAGCTTGGATGACGGGATGAACGTGTCCTCGTAGTTTAATTCACCAAGAGTCATGGCAAACGTCTTCATTATGGAGTACCATAAAGTACTGTAGGCTAGCTGTGGTTGGAACAATACAACTAAATACTGATAAATACTAGCTGATGTCAGCTATTTCAGATATATTCAATACTCACAATACTACAGATAGTGCTTTCCAATACCGAAATGTGACTAACCAGCTCCGGAGAGTCACGAAGAAATTCAATGGAAAGCAATTATATAACGAACATAACTTCACTTACTCTATTGTCAATCAAAATAAAGAAGGTTGTACCAAACGCCATCAAAAACAAKCCAAACAACAGCATGACCTGAAGGCAAAGGCGAGATATATGTTATTTAGGTTCAGTCTTTCTGTAGGTACGGGAGCACAGATTATACTATAATTGAAAAGTAGCAAAAGTTCCGAGTGAAAAAAAAGTGCTTCAGAAACTAAACCATACAACAAAACACAAAAAAACTTTTAGAGAAATACTATAAATCTTGGTATCCGGAGAAAGACGAGTTGACCTGAAGGCAAAGGCGAGATATATGTTATTTAGGTTCAGTCTTTCTGTAGGTACGGGAGCACAGATTATACTATATTTGAAAAGTAGCAAAAGTTAAAAAAAAGTGCTGCAGAAACTAAACCATACAACAAAACACAAAAAAAACTTTTAGAGAAATACTATAGATCTTGGTATACGGAGAAAGACGAGTTTTTTAATCTTAAACGCACAACTTCTTCTATCACCAACAGAATTGCAATGACAGCACCACATAACAATAAAACTTCACACGACCGGTTCAAACTACGACATAAACGGAAGCAGAAACAGACGCTGTTTCGCACTTGACATAAGCATAAACGTATGCTTATGTTTTGCCGGTTCACATTCATAATTTTTCAACATAAACGGAACATATCAAACAATTGCCCCCACAAAGTTATCCTTCGTTTAGCAGCCATATATGGTAATCTTACCTTATTTGGAAGTTCGATAGGAATGGTTTTTGTCGATTTTCTCGACTTTTAAAGCTTGAAATCGTCGGAAACTTGCAGATATTATAGCGAAAACACTTCTAAACAATCCGCCATTTTGTTTGTTTCCATATATGGCATGGATTCGCTAAAGGAAGCCCAAAACTAAAAAGCACAGGGAACCCGCACGAATGATATACAATTCTTTGATATGGCATATTGCTGTTTCTGCTTATGTTTTCCCCAGTTCACTCGTTGATAATGCTCTCTTCTACATATTCTGCTTATGTTGTAGTGTGAACCAGCCCTGACAACGACAACGACGGGCTCAGATGTGGGGATTTTTTGTTATTTAGCTGGTATGGAGTTTCTAACGGACTGCATCACATTTACCTGWAGGAGCGTCTTGAACATTGTTGTCAGCATAATGACGTACTTGCCATAAAAGGACATTCTATATACAGAATTATGAATATTTATGAATYCCTCTTGATCATCTGACAACTATGACGTCATATACTGACCTTCTAAAGTATAGAATCAGATTCAGCCAACCAAGGAATTGAGAAAATGCTGCTGCCTGTATGATGTTTTCTGATTCAATCTTACACATTTCCCATGGCGGTAAGACATATGTAATGGCGCACAAGTAGATGGTCCATTCAAGGTAGTTGGTGAATTCCATGAAATAACGCAATTTCTGTAATTGTAATAATAACAAAATGGTTATGGAATAAAAATGTTTAAAGTTCCACTTGGACCAAAAAGATTTCTGAAGCTTTTACGTCACTACTTGATTTGCATTGCATTGTGGGATCGCTTTCTAGAAAAGACAAAAGAAATCCGCCATGTTTTGTCCCAAACATATCCTACAATGCATTGCGTACACGGTATATGACGTAGAAGCTGTTCATATATACTGATAATTTAATGATGTGATAGTTTTTTTTTGTCATGCGCCTGTAAGGAAAACTTTTTTTATTAATATTTTTTGTCCAGGTTCTTCTTTTAGTCACTTGTCCTAACAAAGTGGTTAATGACCAACTTACCAATCGTACAACCTGCATGATTTCCTTACTGAGGTGGAAAACAGCGAGGACAATAACAAGTCCGTGGAGCGCTTTCACTCTGACTTCATCCTAATTTTTTCAAAAGAAATTGCTATGATCCTAAAGATATTCCAATAAGCACAGGTGCACTGGTGCTATATTTACTAGTTTACAAAACTTGATGGGAAATATAGTGCTTTAAATGTTCTGTGCCCTTCGAAGTCCTTACGAACTCCTCCGACATACTCACGAACTCCTCCGACGTACTCACGGACTCCACCGAAGTACTTAGGAAATTACTTACGAAGTCCTCCAAACTACTTACTAAGTCCTTCGGAACTACTTACGAATTCCTCCGACACCGCGATAATTACTGAAACGCACGCAAACTTATAGCAAATGCACAGTTTCCACACGTTGACAAAGTATTATCTGTAAAACTACTCACCCACTTTGAAATTGAATTTTTCGCAAGAGTTGAGTTTCGCTTTCCCTGCAATTATAAATTAATCTATATTTAAAATTTTGCTTATTTCTCGCATGGATCTTTTCTTCTTTATTTCAAATCGTTATCCCTTCTCTGTATTCTGGTGTTGTATCTTTAATACCTTCATGATTATTGATGATGTGCAGACCTTGGTATTAGTTGGATTTAAACCACAAAACCTTTCTTCATTTGACCTCATGATCACCACAAGTGAAGTGAAACAGAGCAAAAAGGCGATGTAAATCGATAGATTGAAAAAGAACGTCATCCAGCCGAATTTTTTCCTGCGAGGAAAGAAAAATTGACATATGGATCTGTTTATCTTAAATTACCCGCGGCATATTCCATAAATTCTCACAAAAGTCAATTGATGGAAATCAAAGATGGTGGATGAACAAGTTGAAAGTGTTAATTATGAAGTTTATTTTACCATTTTATCTGCATTAGGAAGAAGCACACGGGATGTGTGAGGCARTTCTCGCGTCTCCGTTCCGCCATTGTCTACAAAATAAAAAAAWTGTCCCTTGAAGGATCACCTTTTAAGTCACGTTTACGAAGATGATGGGGAAAAAACGGCGTAAGGAGTGCAAAACGTAAGCGGAGACTTATTAAGGGAGCAGAGCGGATTTTTTCTTACGTCTGCGTCAAGTCGGTTAAGTTCTTGATGTAAAAAAGGGTGTTTCATCTCCATCCGTCTTCGTTTACTTCCCTATACCTAGTGCTCAGCTAAAATTGGAAACCTTYTYAAWCTTTTCATTTTCCAAGCKACCCKGATTGATTGATRATTTTATAGGCAATGGATTCCAAATTYGAGTGTCACTCTGGATTCCGGATTCATAMTTTTTYTAAATTCTRGGTTCAWATCGTTGAAATTTCCGTTTAATCCAGATCTCGGCATTCGGATTCCGGAGTCCATAATATTATCTCTGGACTAATTCATGGGGCATCAACAACGATTATAAATAATATATAGTATATATGTACCCTGAGTGCTGMGAGTGTTTCTTTGAACTTTTGGTCAGAGCTGTACTTTCCCTGTACTAATCCAAGGTCATATGTGATCTGAAAACGACGTCAACCAAAATATGTGAATTATAAATAATTTAATCTTTAATTTATATTTATATTTACCTTGTAGTCTTTGCTGTTTGGATCCCCTTCATATGTGACACAGCGGTCCAAGACTTTCTACAAATAAAAAGAAAAATACAACTAGTTATCAGAAAGCATTTATCAAATAAACGAATAGGTCTCGGTACGTCCTGAAAAGGACAGTGAGTTTTAAACAAGCTTGAAGTGTACCTCAGCAACGTCGGGCATTCTCTTGACGAGGGTCTGAATTTGAGGAACACCACCCCCTGGGGAAACGAGTATGACTTCCTTCCACCTGTAACAAGAGATGAAATGGTCATTTGTGAATGTGGCTTTTAGGCGTTAAACAACTGAATAATTTACTAATTAGCCATTCAACAATCCACGATAATCAGGGAGCCATTTAATGCAATTAAGCTGTCATCAAATGAATCACTTAACTAACAAATCGACCGGCCCAGCAACAAATCAACCTTCCGACCAACCGTCCGTCCGACTGACCGACCAACTAATCAACCTTCCGCGAACCAACTGACCGACCCAAACCGACCCAATTTATAAACATACTAGCCAAATTTTCAGCCAAGAAGCAAAGCAAGGAAAATAACCAACCTGTCATGCTCAGCCACAGCCATAGCAACCTCATGCTTATCAGCGTTGATGGCCACTTCCAGTACACTTTGATTGAACTTATTCAAAAGAATTTCTTGCTCGTGGATYGAGAGAAGGTATTTAACAATCTCGGCGTGACCAGATAGCGAAGCCAGATTAAGAGCTGTATTCTATAACACAGTCACAAACAAGCAATATTATGTTATCATAGCCATATCATCATTATCCTAATGACGTCATGTGCTTTTTGCCGAAGTGCACCACGGTATTGATGAATGTATCAAGATGGCGGATGAGTTATAATGGACGGAGGATGAAGTTTCTTCTCGARATTTACGATATTGGAAGTCGAGAATCACTTGGAAGAGAATTATATGAGATTTCCATACAATAGGAAATGTCAAGAGATTTGTTGTTCGAAAAACAGCCTGAGACACCATAAACGTAAACGAAAATAAACAAAATGGCTAACTTTGTACTTTTGTCAATCCCGCCGAGGTGCATCTCGCCCAGGTTTTCAGAAAAAGTACCGTTCACATTCCACAGCGAGCCCGAGATTATGTACTTCACAAACCTGATTTTTATCGACGATGTTCAAACAGTCTTGATGAAATTGCAAAATAGATTCCAGACATGCCTTGGAGCCTCGCAAGGCGGCCAAGTGGAGTGGCGTGCGTTCGCTATGGTCTCTAAAACAATAGATAATACAACGATACTGTATTACGCGTGTAGGTGAGTCAAACAATAGGCTAACAATGCCATTGTTGCGTATCCAATCCAGCCTTTAACGACACTGCAAAAAAGTAGGTGGGACAACTTGCTGACGTCTCGGACGTTAATCCTTCGTCGGATTAAAGTAAGAAAGGTCAGTAAGTTGTTTTACCTTTCTTTTACGGTGTCAAAATTTATCTTTTTGCATAACTGTTTCTTTAGAAAACCCGACGCAGTTCACACTAGTTGACCGCTAGCTTCTACCATTTGCAACAACAGCTACAGTGAGCAGGACTTATTGTAGCACTAAGAAAACAGACGTTTGTTGATACGCTACAATTTTACTACAATAGAATGCAGAATATTTCCGACCATTCATTGGTTTATACTTCTGCTTTAGAGATAATTAAATGAATGGCATTTCTTAGCTTTAATCACCTCTCTATTGTAGCTCCTTCCACTAGGAGTAGCTCTGTTATTTCTTCATGACCTTCTCCTGCTGCGGAGTGAAGTGCGGTTCTTCCTTGGTTATTTTGTGAGTTGATAATACGAACATCACGCTTCTTGAGCAGCTTTTGGACAACTTCTAATTTACCATACCTGRAAGCATTCAAAGAAAGTTAGGAACCGGCTGATTTTGCTGGCTCACTACTGCCTATATCAGATAGACATAAGAAGAGACAGAAGCTGGTTCACACTGTACATAAACGTAAGCATCTGTCATATTGCGCCGATTCACACTTGTGATATTTTTAACAACAGTAGAAGCAGAAAGAAATTGGAAAACAAAAATTCGTAAATGTTTTGACTGCCTCTGGTATTGTTTCCACGGTTTTCACGTAAAAAAATGATTTTCTTCTGATTCTGATTGTGTTGAAGTGTGGGCCAATTATATATACGTTACATGTTGCATTTTGGATGAATAGTTAATCAAACAAAGTACGCTAAATATTCTCTTTGAATGGATTTTTTGCTTACTTAGCTGCAATGTGAAGAGGTGTATCCTGAGAGTCAGATGCTCCTGAACCAGCTAACTTGTTCCTTGATAGCAACACCGAGACGCTCTAAAAAATAACCAATTCACCAATTGCTACTTAGTCATCATCTACAACCATCGACCATAAACTACAACACCAAACAGCATAAATACAATGACAAGAACCAATAACACACTCTGTGGACTTTTGCACCAATAAAAATAATGCTTGTATTGACGAAGTGCATCATGGTATAATATTAATAGAAGTTTCAAGATGGCGGATGCCTCGCAAAAACTCGTACGAAGGATATAATTTCTTTGCAGTTAAGAGCCTTACRTGTGCCACTCATCAATCGTTATCTTTGTTTTCAGTATCAAAGCCCAGTTGTTCAATAGTACCTCCTATAAAACGTATTCTGCATATTTCATTTTTCAGTTTAATTGCAAAAAGAACACAAAGGTCTAAACATTTAATGATGATATTCTTAATTRTACCTTGACATCTCCAGCTCTTGCAGCGTAATGTATTGGTGCATATCCTGTGACATCCTTTGCAACAGCTAGATCTTTACTCTGCGTTCCCTGAAGATGGAGACATTAACTTTACTTTAGAACTTTACAAAAAGTGTGCATTAAAATTGGTATTCGTATAGGTAGGCATGACACTGTACTTTAAAAACGTTCACATGTATCTCCAAGGGAAGCTCACAAAACCTTGCTACCTATCTAGCAGTAATCCTTCCACGCTTTCCTTAGCAGTGTCTTACAGAGTGATTCTGTCTATTCCTTAACTATGCCACCCAGCTACTTACATTTTCCATCCCATTCCTCCCTTCACGACAGTACTGCACACATTGCAATTCCATTCTTCCTCTAACAATGTCACCCCTTTAAAAAGAATAACCATCCCCGCATCCCATCCCATCCCATCCATCCCTCCCTCAATACGTACCTTACAGAGTGCTTCCATGGTGATGGGATGTCCAACAGCGGCATGCAAGGGAGAACGAAGCTCAACGTCCTTTACTGAAGGATCAGCTCCCTTCTCCATCAACGCCAGTACGGTGTCAGTGAAACCTGATGTCGAAGATAGGAACAGAGGAGTTCTATGTTGGACGTCGCCTTTGTTCACCGATGCACCCTGGTGCAAGATAGAATTCAAATTAACACATTGGTTTATTTGGAGATAAGAATGTAAGGACCGCATGGCATTATGAGATAAATGGTATAGAAATAAAGGAAAGATTTATTGCTTAGAAGGAGGTTAATCCGGGACAAAGACCCTTGGGAAATGAATTCGGAAAAATTGATTTTCGATTTCGCTAGGATTCTAACCCACGACCCTCGGATTTTTACTACCGATGCTCTACCAGCTGACCTTGTAGAATTTAATTCCAAGGATCTTTGTCCCAGAATAACCTCCTTCTAAGCATTATATCTTTCCTTTATTTCTATATTTGGAGATAACGCAGYTTTAAGCAAGTATTCTCACCTGTTCCAAGAGGAAAACAACAACAGGAGTGTTACCAAACGCTGCTGCATGATGTAGCGGTGTCATACCATTTGTATCTTGCATATTCATTTTACATATCTCTTTGTCGTATGTGGCGAATTGTTGTACCATCTCGATTGAACCCAGAGCACATGCTAGATGTAGTGCTGTTGAACTGTCACTTTCCTGGGAAAATGAAAAATCACCACAATTGTTTTTATGAACTGGAATTATACTTTACACTCATGGCAAATAATTTGCTTGATAAAAGCACCACTATTTATTAAATAATGATATATGAATTAAATTTCCATGATACCTTAGTGTGACGAACATTTGCTCCACTCTGAAGACACAAGGTTACAATCTAAAACAAGATGAACAAAAAAATGATATTCGATTATTTCGTGGTGCATCAGTGCCAATCCATTGTTAGCTCTCATAAATCATGTTGTATATGTATTGCTCTCATAAATCATGTTGTATATGTATTGCCATCATTAATCATGTTGTATATGTATTTTGTTTTCACTACTTCATTGTTAAAATGAAACAGGTCGAAACGAAAATAGCTTGAAACAAAACTGAACGAAACGAAACAAGTTGAAACGAAACGATGCAGAAGAAATTGAACGGAACGAAACGAAACATGCCAAGAAAATGAATCAGAACAAAGAAAACAAAAGCGCCGGAAACATGTACAGATCAAACATGATAGAGCAAAATGAAATATAATGAGCTTTTGACTTACCGACAATATACCACTATTARCAGCAAGATGTAGTAATGTGCTACCGTAAGGATCGACATTGTAAAAAAGCGAATCAAGATTGTCACGATCGCTTTGACACACTGTAACCAAGCATGAAAAAAAATTAAAGTCAAGCTTTCATCTACAGAATAAAATACTACTCAATTATAACAACGTACTAGTTCCCAGGAGATAGCCCACTACTTCGCTTGCTCCTTTTGCCACGGCGAGACTAAGTGGGGTCATCTGGTCTTCCCCTTTCGCTGTTATCTCAGCTCCWAGACTGATCTGTTTTTGTTTTGCACGAGAAAGCATTATTTAGGCCATGAATTGACTGAACCACCAATATCATTCGAAGAATATGTCTTCATGTAACTAGTCGGTGAAAAGGAAAAAAAATTGAAATACTTACCAGTATTTTGCACATGTCAACGTAGTCTTCTTGAGCTGCAATATGAAGTGCCGTATAGTCCTCAAAGCCTTTGGCGTTGACATTACACTTTTTGTCTGCGAGGATGACCTACATAGTAAGGTAAGTTGGTTGGYGTGGTAGAAGGATGATTCGTTGCTTCATTTTAGAGGATGTCAAAGGAGGATGATTCGTTGGATGTGATAATATGGGTTTCTAAGACTAAATGGGCTGTGCTTAAAGTTTGTCGACAATAGTCTTTTTCACGATTCCCTTCCATAATCTGAAAGGTAGCMGTGCCTTTATCGAAGCGAGACAACCGTTGAGCGTGCAATGATAGATAACTGTGAATAATTGTCGGTAGGTGTGAAGGTAAGTTGATATCATTGCACGCTCAACGGTCCTCTCTCTTTGGCACAGGAACGGCACCTTTCAAAATGACGCAGGGAACTGTGAAAGGGATAGGTGCCTGGTTGGTACGTTTATCAGCAGATTGAATTTATAAAGTAGAAGCTTCATTGCAAGTTGGTTAGGTGGTTTGGTGAGTTAGTGGATGTTTAGTGACGTAGTTGGTTGGTAGGCTTGTGGTTTATAGATTTTAGTGATGATAAACTGGCTAATTGATTTTTGATTTATAGAGTTTTGGGGTTAACTAGTGTTTGACTGACGTGTGGGTGGGTTAGCGGGTGAGTTTTTAACTGTACGTTTTTGAATGGTTTCCGTACAGTATTACGAACAAATTAACTTTACCTTCACAATTTGCTCGCTCCCAGATCTAATTGCATCATGCAGTGGTGTGTCTCCTCGTTCGTCCACACTCCTAACATCAGCTCCCCCCTTGAGCAATATTTCCACAATATTGAGGTGTTTGCCATTGATAGCATTGTGCAGGGGGGTCTTGCCAAACTCATCATGGACATTGACATCTTATTTATGAAATGATAAAGAAGAAATTATTACTCCATTAATAAAATCAGCTGTAGTGAAAAGCGAGATTGTTTGGTCTGGTTGTTTGATTGGTTGGTTGGCTGGCTGCCTGGATGGTTGGTTGATTTGTTGGTTGTCTGGATGGTTTTTTGTTTGGTTGGTTTGCTGGTGGGTTGTGTGGGTTGTTTGTTTGGTGAGTTGGTTGGTTGGCTGGTAGGTTAGTATGTTGTTGGGTTAGTGGGCTGGTTGACTGTTTGGTTGGTGGGTGGATTGGTTGGTAGGTTGATTAGTTTTTTGGTTGGTTGGTTAGTTGGTTGGTTGGTTGGTTGGTTGGTTGGTTGGTTGGTTGGTTGGTTGGTTGGTTGGTTGGTTGGTTAATTGATTGGTTGGTAGGTGGGTAGGTAGGTAGGTAGGTAGGTAGGTAGGTAGGTAGGTAGGTAGGTAGGTAGGTAGGTAGGTAGGTAGGTAGGTTGGTTGGTTGGTTGGTCGGTTGGTTGGTTGGTTGGTTGGTTGGTTGGTTGGTGGGTTGGTTGGTTGGTTGTTTACTTATTTGGTTATTTAGGCTTCCTACATTCGTTTGGGCGAGAACATCTGGTACCTCTTCCCACTGACTTGAAACTCTCCTCATTTCTTTCTTCCATTTTTCTTTATTTTCTTTATTTTCTTTGTTTTGTTTGTTTGTTTATAACTTACCTACTCCTTTATTCAAGAGTTTGTTTACCTCTTCTTCGTCACCAGATAAGGAAGCGCGATGAAGCTTTTGGAGCTTCGATGACTTGGCTACTTTCTGTAAAACAATAATCGGATTTGAAATCTTACCAACCTACCAAATCTATACTATGCAATGACAGCGCCACAATTCTCTACAGCAAAGGATGATGGTAGATGTAGTCCTCCMACATGAAGATAGTTTTTCCTACTGATTTTCCTATTTTCCTTTGTAAAAAATAGTAATGGCACATCTCCTTGCGAAAAATTAAATTTGGGTACTATTTTGTTGTTCAAAATAGCATCGCTGCACAGCGCCACTCGAGCCGGGCATGCGTATTAGACAGCATTTTATTACTTTTCAATTATGGGGAAAATGTATTAACTTATTCTAAACAGCAAAATGAAAAAACGTTCTTGTTACTTAGTTAAGAAATATAGCATTTTTGAACCTAGAAAAGTTTTTTGAAAATTTAAAGAACAAACTACGATGCATTGCTATTTCAAAGTAAAAAATATTTCAGTAAATTATTATTCATATCATGTTACTTATTTCATACTTTGCTGCATAAAGAATATAAAGTAGTTCATACTAAATTCATCTAACTTTACTCTGACTGGCAAAAGTGGTGATTAGCACATCTTTGATTTGATCTCTTATGCTTCATTGACTGCTAGTAATCTCTTTAAAACATAGTTTTCAAATTCGTCTCACGCTTCATAATTCATAAGCATACTTTCAAAAAAAGTTCAGGAAAGTTTTTTCGTGAGGAAAGTCAATACCTGTGCAGCTTTGGCAGTTGATTTACCGGCGCCATTCCTCGAGCTAATACTCGGATTTCGATTTAAATCAATCTCAATGCTGTCAATATTTCTTCCATCTTTATCAAACACAGCCTCGCTAAACTTTCTGAATTTATCTAAGTAGTCTGCGTCATAAGTGCTCGTTGGTCTGTCTGGTCTTTGTAGCGTTTGCTGCTTCTGCATTTCGTTCTTCGATGAATTCGAACGATTTCTTGGTAGTAACGCAGTCCTCGCTTCAGTGCCCTGTTTGAAATGTCCTGCACTTGACATTCCGGACAGAGTGGAGATGAATATAGGTATAGTTAATTGTTCGAGAGGGTTTCCAAGTGAGCCTGGAATGCAGTGTTATAGGTCCATGTTTACTCAAGTGTTTTGAAGTTATAGAAAGTGTATGGTTTTGCCGACATCTTTTGAAACAAGTGTTTGCACATAGATTACCGGTGAAAATCCAATGGAAATACAAATATTATGAACAAATTTATTCTGGCAAGTTTTAGCTGAGTTTAAACTTGCAATAAGATTCAATCTCGTTCAGGAAGACTCAAGACTTTAAGTTAAAAACAAGTCGATTCCGTGGATAAGTTCGCAAATTCCTGTTAAACCAGGCCTGTCTTTTTGGCATAGAATTAGATATGTTTTCTCGTCTTAMTGTTGCGATTTTCAGCATGCAAAATCAAGGACTTTTCTCGAAATTTAGACCTATTTTTGTTTAGCAATTATAACCTGAGCTAAGATCCATCACCCTACTTTAAATCTTTTGTTGAATTTAACTTCAAGTTAAAAACACCTGTAAATCTTCTTAAGTCCGCAGTACTGTCATCGGGATAACATTACACTGAGGAATCATGGGAAATTGAGACCGCAATGGTACACTGGGATACTATTATTTGACGTTAATGAAATTTAATGTAATAATTTGATAATCGTATCTGCTGTTGTGGTCGGACGCTGCTCAAGTAAATCAGCTTAATATGTACGATTTTCGGATGTAACGGATTTTGTATAATTATAATTGCACCAACACACGCCACGGTCACGGAACCTCGACTAGCTAGACTCCCTAGAAAATTCTGCATTGCGGGAAATTCACTACAAAAATTAAGTACTATTATTTTAGGACACCCATGTAAAATTATATCATGCAAACTTGTTGCATAACCGTCGTGACTGGCTACTCAAATTAAATCTTAACTCACGACAGGCTACGTTTAACGATGTTTTTATCGATCACAGTTTTCTATTTTTTTGTGTAAACGATAGTTAAAMGCCAAATTAAAATGCAGTATTACAAAATGTCCTTATATATGTGTGTAGAGGCAGTCTTAGTCAATACTTAACTAAGGAAGACATGGTACGAAAACAAACTCAAGATTATAAACAATCRCAGCATGGTGACCCACACCCTCGACGCCAAGTATTTACTGGGTTTCATCTTGGCTAAAAGTTCAATTTAACGAGACATTTTCTTCAATAATAATTAAAGGAAAATGGCTATGCCAAAATAAGTTACAATAAGTCTTTCTTAGAGTTTTCAAAGAAATCGCCCTCTAAGTTAGAGCTCGAACTTTATTTAATATATCGTTCTTAGAGTGCAACTCAAGGCAGCGCGTTTTTTTCTTTGTCTTTTTCTACATTTCCATTCCTCAGTCTTCATTGCTTTAGTAAAAAAATCTGTTTGCTTTATGAGAGAGTTTTTTAAGGAAATTGCGTAGAAAAAAATGAAATATGTAAAGCGAATAGAATTGATAAATTGCAAAAAAAAAAAAAAAAAATCATGATCGGCTCCTCATGATTCAGTTATTCATGGACACACCCCAAAATATCAGTTCTTATCAGAAAAGTCACAAAGCAAATACAATTCTTTTTTTAAAGTACGAAGCATTACATCCGAATAACTGCACTTTGACGAAGTTAGGCTTTACTCAMTTAACTGCACTCCCCGGCTGACACTCGAATCATGAGTTTTGAGAAGTCTTATCTATGAACTAGCTAGTCTAATGCATTAGGTGTCATCGCGAAATAACTTCATAATCTAATTTATAAAACTATTTCAGAATTAATTGATACTAGTTTTATAGGAAATGTAAGCCAGACAATTTAACATCATGAACTTACCGATTTCGGCATTGTATAGAGGACTTACGAGTGGTATTTGAAAATTCCAGAAACGCTAAGTGTTGCCAAAAACGTTTTCGTCAACAACCAGTTGTATTGTGAAGGCGAAGCTTGTTTTTCCTTTGAAAWTACTCACAGCTATTYAYAATARTACTGAATAAGRGAAAATTAAATGACTAATTATCAATGTAATTAGGCCATTGCTTCTAAAAGAATAWGGAAAAACATGCTTACAAAAATAGAAAACTATGCATACATAATTGATTTGAAAAAGATATTCTTAGAGACTTCACAATATGGAGTTCAGCAATTCGCAAATAATTTACTCCAAAAAACGAACAATTTATTTCAAAATACGAACAAGAAGTGACTCGTATACACTTTTGCAACAAGGAAAATAAAGAAACATTGGTAATTGATCAAGTTTTTCAATCTTTAGAGAAAGTACCGTCGATAGAGGTCGAGAAATCAAAGAGGGTGTAGCTTGACAAGTCAATGAAAGATCCATAAAGTCGGTTAAGAATTCTGTGTCTTACACGATTGAATAATTTAATTCAAAACTTATAAAGGACACAAGAAAATAATTATATCACAAAAATATAATTATATCACTTTCAAAGCTTCATGATAAAATTGATAAATTATTAATTGATTCAAAGAGTAATTTCTCAGTAAAACGAAGCCGGCACTGCAAGGACAAAGAAAGATACATTTTCATTATAAAGTCTTAGCATTAATATATTTCTACGGGGCGTTGTTTTTTTTCGCTTAAGGCGAAAGTATTGTTATAATAAAGTGAAGCTCAGAATGGAATTTTTTCTCACTAGAGCGGGAAAAATCTTTTTTTTTACAATCCAGTATACTGCGAATCCTACAGTTACGTGAACCAGTTATAACTACTCGTAGTTTTAATTTGAGGAAAGACTGTGAAGAGCTGATCACAAATGACTCTCGGAGCGGAATGTGTATTAGTAAGTAGGGCCGACTGTATCAAATGTCAGGGGCCAGGGAACGTGGAGGGCTGCTATTCGAGTGATAAAATGAGGCCCTGCTCTAACTCTGCCTTTATTCCACGTCTAATCTAATTGCCTGCATGTAGTTCACGAGACGTTTGCAKAGTAAATCAATTGACAATTACGCAACCCATTGAGCTCATCTAACTGAACAAAATCCCTGACACTACTACAATATTGCTTGCTTTAAAATCATGATAAGTTCGCACATTTTGAACATTTTCTAAGTTACATGGACATTATAACAACCTCGCGTGCGCTGGAATTTTTCCGAACTCTAGGAGGCTATGACTGCCTGAGAAACCGGCATTGCGGATACATACTCAMGTTTCATGCATTTAGCCTGTTTTGAATACAATGTGTGTTATATATTCACTACAAATGCCCTATTTCAATATGACGTCATAGTATGTTTACACAGCTCAAAAGCAGTACAAATTCGGATCCATTATATTATCTCCGAAAGTAGAATTTAATATATCGTGTTTTGATATATATCATGTGTATAAATGATTGCTTATGTACATTTTATTTGATATGCAGTCACTCTTATCCCCTCTTGCGACCATAATCCTTAGCGTTAAAACAATAGAATGTTTTGATGTGACATCATAATGAAATACAGCAATGTTGCAAGTCAATCATAACGGCGAACGTCACCGACCTGCTCTCGAGTCGACTCCGAACTAAAACGGAACGATCTCCGAACTCTAATAATAGTTCGTGTCAGTGGTTATAAGGTGGTAGTCGATCTCTCCAGTTGAACTCAAACAGGTTTATGATAGCTCTGATAAGCTTACCTGACTGCCCTGCTGCCCAATTGGTTTAATATTGTCGTCAAGCAAAGGCAACGATCCTTCCGATGCTGTGAACTGGCTGTCGATCAAATAAAAATATTCCAATCATGCATCGCCGTGAGCTATTGATTATTTTCAAACAATCCCTAAAAGATAAAAGACCGGCGGCCATGTTGGAGATATAAACAATAGATACTAATGAAAATTCCTATCTTAAAGCTCCTCCAAGATGGCAGCTCTAACATACTTGAAAATGAAGAATTGTTTTTGGCGCAAAATCTCGTTTTGGGTGAGCTATGCAGTTGAACGATTGTAAGGGCGTATCAAGGGGAGTGATTAGGGAGGAGGGTATAGCTAACTCCTGAGCCGGTTTGTTCAAAGCCAACGTTAATCCAGGGTTTATTTCATCGATTTTTTTAAAGATTTAACCCAGGATTAGCGCCAATCGAGCTTTGAACAACCCGACCCTGTGTTTAGGACCCAAAGATATAGATATAGAAATTATGATTTAAATAAATAAGCGAAGAAATTAAGTTTTAATTTTCGAAAAATAAACAAAGGCTCGTAGAAAAGAAAATAACAGTTGATGTTGTCCCGGCCTTTAAGGACAAATTTGCGTGTTTTTGATTTCTATTCATGTGTTAGCGGGAAAGTGTTGCGGGAATGGCCTTTTTTGTGCTGGATTGCGGTATATTCATTTCWTTTTTTGTGGCGTTTCAGGCCCTCTCTATATATGAGTGACTTCTGAACGCTTGGTTTCGCATGACGCAAGGCACTTGTCATCCATGTCACGTAAATATGCCACTCGCTCACAAATTAGAATTAGAGCAGTAAACGAAAAAGAAATTAAACAAAGCGTTTATAATTGCAAAGACGAATTCAACTGCAGATTATATTTCATTGATTACTTTCGTCTGTTATAGTATCACCATGTGTTCTTAACTACCCACCAGGGGAAAATAATAAATATACAAGCACAAGTGTGGCGCTTTTTAAGCAATAATTGCTCCAGYTTTGTAAACAACCATTATGTAAATGTAAATAGTATACACATAAGATTCTATTTGCATTTAGAAGCTATCTGTCATCACAATCAAGACGGTATCTATGTTTTATTGGAGTTTTTATTGTCTGAAATTGCCAAATTCTTAGCTCTATCAAAATGGAGAGAAAAGTACATTTTGATAATGAAAGAAAGTCACAAGAACTTTATGAACTTTCTATGAATGCTGTATTGAATTTATTATATTACCAGCATTCAAAGAGTAAAACAAAATATCAATAAAAAATATATATTYATGATATACAATAGAATATAAAAATGTATTTAAGTTACCTTATTTCGACCATGTCGTTATTAGCACTTGTTCTCCGTCGGGCAGTCTGCCCAAGAAGGGGAGAGTTGAACATGCTAAACCTAGAACACAAGAAAAACTATCACTTACCAAATAGCTAGCGCGCGACTGAGTGATTGCTAGGTGAAACTTAGCAAATAAA